TTGCAATATGGACCATTATGTACATGAGCAGCAGAAAAACGCCTCCAAGAGTTGGAGGCCTACATTCCCAGCTGGTGTCAACCGGCATGACCAACTGGTCACCACCCTGACCAACAACTGCCAAGAATCCAGTCTGGATGTCACATTTTCTCCTGAATTAACATCCTGTCTCCCTCTCCTTTAGAAGCCAGTGTCTTGTCAGTAGTGCAACACAATGTGCAGCATTCAACATAATTTCAAAGTAGATGTGATGTACCATCTTCCTCGAGCCTCAACTTGATATCCTGCATGACAGGGAAACAACTGTCATGTGAACACAGGTAGCTGAGTGCTGTAATCCTAACCTGTGTTCTGCCTGCCAGCATGACATCCTGGGATTCATACCCTCGCTGCCTTCTAACTCCACTGTAGTCTTGTCAAAGGTTAAAAGAAACACATGTCAATAGCTCATGTTGTTGCTTTTCTTCCTTTTACATCCTACAAACAGGCTTTGTTTTAGAGTATTCCACCCAGTGCATGAGCCTGACAAATACCAAGTGATTTTATCAAGCCTAGAAAGACCTCTGAAGTCCCATTTGTAGACTGTGTGGGCAAGGAAACATCACAAGAAGGGCATTTATTTTCATAGTGTCAATAATGAAAACATTATTGCTGCTTTTTCAGTTATCCTGGTGAGGATTGAGTCTCAGGAACTTAAGCCCTAAGAAATTCATTATTCTTTCCCAGTTGAGTTCAACCACTAAATTGCAGTCTCATACAACTAAAGTAAATTTGGAGACAATTGAAGACGTCAAAAGACAGAATATCATGCTGACACCCCGCTAACAGAGAAGTGAATAAACAGTCATTCAGTTAATCCCTGCTGTTTTATGAGTAGTATTCTCCTACACACTTTCTCCTCCAAATCGTAGTTATCTATCAACTACAGTTACAGAAGAACAGAACTACAACATTTATGAGTTAATACACTCAATCTAAATAGCGATGGCTTCCTTTCATGGGCTCAAAATTCACTGAAACACTTAAATATGTGCTCAATCGCATCCTTATTCAGCAAAGCAATAAAAGCATGTGCTTAACTGCCACTGGCTTTAATTAGCCATGTCTGTACTACACTTAATTGCCCCATGCTGCAAAGCTCTATCATTGAGGATGCAAAAACTTGCAGAAATAGAAAGGTGAGAATGACCTATTAAGGCAGCATTGCTGACAAAAGATTAAACACGATCAAAGAATATTAAAAAATGGTGATTATCAGTGCCACAAGCACCTAATTTGGCAATTTGCCTAACCTCTAATTCAAATTAAGGATTATTAGGAACACATTGAGTTAATGACAACACACTGAAACAGAGCAAATGCATGAGTTAGAAAAGGAAAAGGGATGAATTCACTACAACTACTCTTTTCAGGTTCTAGCTTTAGCTGCTGCCAAACCGAAAGTGTTAAAGCTTTTTCATCTGCTCCTCAAATATAATTTCTAAATCCACCTGAGATTACTGTAATGAAATGGATACAGTTGTAATGAGGAATACACGCATGAGGTCTGGAATCAGAATCCATCAAACAAAGTTAAATCTTTTAACAGAGAAGCAGAGATGGAAGAAAACTGGGTGTGACCAGGAGTCCCTGTTCTGTCTCACCCCTATAGCAATAAATAACTTTTAAAATTACTTTGTAGCATAAACTGAGAAAATACCAGATCTGGAGCTCTAGATGCAATTTTAGTCACCTGTTGTCACACACGTAGCACTAAATACCGAAAGCAATAGAAGCAAATAAAAATGTAAAGTTTGGTCTTTTATACAACATAAAATGTGATTTCTGTAAAGGAGATTGCTGATGGATAATTTTACCTGAACCATTTGGTGAGATGCTGAGAGAAACTGAGGATAATGAGCCTCAAATAATGACTCCAGAGGCCACAGCTCAGTTCATTGGTTTACCACAGATTTCTTGTATTAGATGAAGTCCAGATTATTTGGTATCTTTAGAGCTTTTCTATCCCCTAGAGGTACTGGATGGGTTTAGAGTAAATGGTAGTGAAATATTAGGATGATACCGGTCATATAAAAAACAAAGATAAACAAACAGGTTTCTTACAAAAATACAAAGATGACAGAGATGGTCAGTCTATTTCATACTACTCAAAAAGTTTTTAAAACATGTTGCAACAGGCACGGTCTGCAGAAAAATAAAACGAAAACCAACTTTATATTCCATATTTAATCCATACAAAGGTATGTAGATAGCACAAGGCTGGTTGCTATAGAAACATCCACAGTGAACACAGTGAACACAGATACTACAGTTGAAATGCAAAATTAGTCATGTATCTAAAGAAAATTGCTGATACTGTCAAAAAAAATTACGACAGCTAAAGCTGATACCCTCTCTCACAAAAGCTTTCAAAAAATAAGTCTTGACTGTATAAACCAATACTTATTCAGAATATTTAATCAAATAATCTCCCGCAGTGTGCAGTGGCAGAAGCTGAACTTAGTTCTGGAAGTCGAGTCAGATCACAAGAGTCTCTGGTTTCAGAATGTGAGGGCAGGTGGCCTTTCCTAACATGTTTGGTTTTTTACGCCTCGAGGCTGATTTTAAGAGCCTCCTTTCTCAGGTCCCAAACTGTGCTGATGTATTCCACTGTGATTATGCCTAATTTTCCTGATGAAAACGTCTTGCAAGAGGAATTGTTCTTCTTTGCAAACTTACAGTCTACACGATAGAACATCGTCTTCAATTCCTCCAGCAGCAATGCAGCTACGCCACATTCTCTGCTCCCATTCAGCTTTCTGAAGTTTACTCAGTAGTCAGGGACAGTGTCAGCAAGAATATATACAGGGTCACCATCTAACACTGTTCTCAAACCTACCAGTTTACAGCAGAGGGCTGGAGGTGAGGGTCAGTGGGAACACCAGCAATACAGCACTCCCTGCCTCAGTCCCACCACAGATACTGTTCCTGCAACCTGCTTTCTCTGCCCAGGTGCTAGAAACACCTGAGGACAGACAAACGTTCTGTATCACAGGAAGTCCCTTCCCATTATTCTCCATCTCCAAAACCACAGGACTCTCAGGCTGATTCCTGGAACACCTAACTTTCTTCTTGAGGAGCCCTCCTCAGGAATTGAGCCCATCAAGAGAAGGGACAGAAAGGTTTTGGGAAGCAGAAGAACTTTAACACAGGATCTCATTTCCTGAAGTTAAGCTTTTCATGGGGACGGGGAGAATGACCAAACTTGTACACCACAACTGGCTTTTAATGAGAAGTCTTTTTTTAAACAGTCCCATCAATTAGTGGCTCACGTGGTCATAGGAAGTGTTTCTGCCACATTCAGTATTGATCCCCTGATCAATAACAGACTTGTGAGCAACAATCACACCCTAAAGCCTCACATCACAAAGCTCATCTTCTTTCACTGAACACCATCAGAAAGCTGAGCAAAACACATTCTGAATCTTTTATGGATTCTTTTTAATGGATTCTTAATAATATTTGTATAAGCAAACGAAGTATTTACTTCCATCACAATTGCCTAACAATTCCATGTAAGCAGTCCCTTGTAACAAAACCAGCGTTACGTCTGGAATAGCATCTCTCACTTCAATAGTTCAAATGCCTTGTCAAGAAAACTATTCTAATTGGGTAGGAGTACAAGAGAAAGCAAAGATTATTCCCTTGTTTTATGTTAGCAATTTTTAATGATTGTTTATTTATATTAGACTTTGCTATGCAATAGCACATCTGAGGCTGTTTATACACAATTGTTCGTATCCCAAGCCACTTCCAAGCATGGGCAGTGTGCCATCAGTAATGAATGGCACCTCAAATAATCTCTTTTTCTGTTGTAGCTATCCCCAAAGGAAACATTACAGTCCTCTCTTATCACCAACCAAATATCTGCTATGGAAGCATTTCAGATGCTTTAGAATAAACACATGTAGTTAAACAGATCTGTGATCAGCAGCTTCACTGCAACGTACAGATAGGAGAGCCCACAGAATCCCCTGCTTTCACATTTTATTTTGCTTTTTCTCTTTCGTGGATCTGTGGAAATAAGCCCAAAGATTATGACATAAAAGTGAGTGTAAATATTCCCTCTGGGACCGTCCAATCAACGAGTTTACACTAGGGGCTCCCTCAAAATAGTCTTCTGGTTATATAAGTACTGTTGACACTTCTGAACTGCAGAAGATTTCTAGACTAAACTTCACCTTTTTTTGTCAAATGCTAGCTGATACAACACAGAAAGACTGCAAATACTTCTTCTGATTTCAGTTCTATACCACCAACATTTAGGCATCTAGAGTGGGATTCAGGTCACCTAACTTTTGATGTCAATGCTATTACTGGTGCCTAGAAATCAATGTGGCTAATCATAGTGTAAGCCTGACTTTGGTCAGCTGAAGTGCTCCCTAGACACCATTAATGGCATTGACCAGAATTGCCCTGACTGCAGTGGTAGCCTGGACGCCTTGAGTTAGGGCAACTCGAACCTCAGCTCAAATTTGTATAAGCAAATCTGCCCAGACTCTCCTTCATCTGTCATTGGAAGGAAACAGGCATCTTCAAAGTTCACTCCAGCCTGTTCTAGAATATGCATCCAGGACAAATGACCCTTTGGGAAACCTACTGTATGCAGTGACTGAAGGGTAGCTGGAGCAAACAGCATAGACAACATAAAATCCCTCCTTCGCCCCGATACCTAAAAGATAGAAAAGATGATTCTCTCTGAGCTAATTTGGAAATTAACTCATCTATCCTTATTAATTAAAATTACATATTTTTTTATTCCTTGTGATAAAATCATGCTATCACATAGATATTAAATCCCCATGTGTGTGCAAATACACACAGAGAGCAAGAAGAATCAAATTATCTCAGTTTAGCAAGTCCCTTCTAGTCAATACTCATGGAAAGCATTCAGATACATTTACATTCTTGCACTGCCCGTTACGTGTATTACTTAGTAGCTCTTAATAAAGAGACATGACTGACATGAATTTATCTCTTTATTACTTTGCCCCTCAGGTTATAAATTCATGAAACAGTTGTAGTTTATTGCATTTTTATGTTTGTCAGTTTTATTTACACACTCTTTCTTGCCATTAGATGGGAAAAAGCTTTTGAGTTTCTGCAGATCCTCAATCATTCTGTGCTGGGGCCTGAAATGAGATGGAAACAAAAACTTCTGGCTCATCTAAAAATAAACGGTCATCTCAAACACTTTCTCAGCACATCCTTCCATCATAAAGTACTGCTACATAAATATGACTTCATAAATTATATATCTTAAGTCTTTGTGTGCTCACAGCAGTTTACCAATAAATGTTCTGCAATATCTACTTAAAAAAAACTAGACATAAAATCATTACCAATGATGATAAATGACTACAGTTTAATAACAGTCAAGCTGACAAAGCTGAAATGTCCACAGGGTGCACTGCAATTCAAATGCCACAGGTGAAAAAATAAAAAGCTTTCAAATATAAATGTTCCCAACTTCAGTAAAGAGAGGAAATCTAGAGAATGGCCCTGTGACACCAGGCTGTGTACTAACTCTAGGATGTCCCCCAAAACAAAACACTGGAATTTCATATAAATTTAGTAGAGAATAAATGAACTTCAGAGCAGAGATGGTTGCAATGTCTCTGTGCTTGGTGGGACAGGTCTGACTAGAGTATAGAATCAGAGACAGACATGGGAGCGGGACAGAAAAGGAAGTCAAACATCGAGAAGCATAACTTCATCCAAACAAGAACAAGAAGACATTTTGGACAGTGAACCATATTCTTGGGTTAACTACAAATTTAGCTTCTCTGGATAGGAAAGTGGAAGGCAGCAATGGGACTCTCAGTACGAAATCTTTCTGTTAAGTTCAAGCTAAAACTTGTGGTTGTGAATCAAGGGAAAAGTCTTATTTAATAACTCATCATGAGGCCACTTGGACTCTGCAGCTGTACTATAGAGAACCTGCTTTTAATTAATAACCTGTAGTCATTTAAAATAAATGACTGTTTTCAAATTGTAAACAAGCAGTTCTGTATAAAGAAAAACATCTCAAGATTATTTCAGCCATCTTCATTCCCATTCCATTAACCATTTACCAGGCAAAACATAATCCAAGGGGCAGAAAGCTCTCATCTTCAGCCAATGAAGTGAATCCCCAAGAGGCATTCACTTCAATATTATTCCTGGCCTTTCTCACTCTCCCAAGGGTGAGCTTTACCCAGCAAGCAAGAGCAGGACAAGTTTGCCAGGACAAAACCAAGAAAAAGAATCCAATTTTCAGTCCACCTCCTCTCTTTTCCATATCTCTCTAAAGGTGTGACTGGTCATTAAGAAAATGCTCTCTCAGAACAGGCAGGTATCAAAAGTACACAGCTGAAAAATGAGGAAAGGATAGCAGGATGAATGAGTATCCTCTAATGGACGCAGAGAGATAAAGCCAAAAAACATGAAGGAAAATATTTTGAGTAAATAGCCTATACTATTTAACTAGTTCCCTCTAGACTCTGATCTGGATGAATGTTCCCTCTCCATTCTTGACCTTCATCTTGAGATACGCTATCTCAGCGACTTTTGTTATCCTACAGGAGCTCTGCATACATCCATAATTTGAAGACTTTCTGTGTTCACTGTACTAAATCTCCTTTATGCTCAATGACTGTGGTCTCTGATTTGCTTATGGAGGGGGAAAGAAAGAATTGATGGGAGAAGGGAATATCAAAAGGATTGTTGTGGTTAAGCCAAGGGTTGGCATGACACAGCTAGAGAGTGACAATCCCAGAGGGAACGCTAGGGATTGGAAAAACTTTCCTAGAGGAAAGCTCTGAAGGAAAAGGCAGAATTCTCAGACCTAGTGTCTGCCTTCCCTTCACTGCAGCAGCACAGGGAGAGCTGATGAAAATATGTCATTGTACTCCTTTATTTTAAGGGGAAAAGTTACTATTGGCAAGCTGCTGTCTGGGTAATTGCTTTCGTTTTGGTCTGATGAATCTGAGATTTGTTGTCAGCCTTCCAGGGGCAGTGAAAAGCTCATCTATTTTCTCCATTTTATCTGGATAAAATGGCCATGGGATTTGCTCAGCTGGGCAGCATTAGTGTGAATGATTATGAGGAAGTGCTAAAGCGCCACCAAGACATGCATGGCACTACTAGAGCTGTTTATTAGTCCTCTCTAATAAAAACTAGTTCTTATAAAGAATAATTATCCTCAGTTGTAATCTTTAATAGCTATGGCTGGTGCAAGCAGCTAGGTTCTGAAATACTTAAATAAATACTCCTGTCAGGACCTCCAGGGAGTCGTGACCAAAGTATGACACCGTTCTCAGTGAGCTCAATGCTGCATCAAAGTCAGCTCTCTTCAGGCTTTTTGTGTAAAATATCATCCTACTCTGCCAAGCCCAAGGAAAGCACAGTCCATCTTACCCCGACAGCATTGTAAGTACAATTAGGCACGTTCTATATGCTTACACAAACTCACCCATTAGAAGAGGCAGAGTAGAAGAGATTTTAAAGACAAGCAGAAACAGCTTGCCCTGCAGTGAGACCCTCTTCTTCAAAAGTGCCTTCCCAGCCACTGCTGCTATTGAAAGAAGTTCTCATTTGGGAGAGGCCTGAGTCTGTCACACTTGCTTTCACTCAATACAGAAGCTCAGCAGAGGCTTCTAGGCAATATAACATTTTTGAGACTGAAGAGGAAAACCCTGGCTCAGGCAGGAATCCTACTGCTTTAATATAATGCTAAATAGATTCAAAGTCAAGTTCTTTCTCTTTAAACCTGAACTAACCAGGGCTAAGCATGAAGTGAGCCTGAAACAGCTATAAGCAGCTAGAACAACCCCAAAACTCCAGTGATGTTGGTGGCACAACAACACTTGGTACTTAATATATTGACACTCTTTGGGGCTTTTCCCTAAAAGGACTTCTACCAAGTAAAACTTTTGGCTTCCCACACTATTAAATTGAAAAAAACAAGCATATCCTTACATTAAAGCCAGTTAGAAATGGGAAAATAACTCTGACAAAGGGGATAAGAGGCTCACAGCGAAACTTTCATGTCTCCTACCCAAGAGCAGCTCCTGGAAAGCCAGGTTTATTACAGACACAATCTACTCACAATAAAACTTTGCTACAGGGCAAGAAAGCCAATGGCTGAGAAATAATTTCTCTCTGCAAAGCATCTGCTTGCTGACTTTATTGCTGTTGCCATCTTGAACTGCAAAATTAAATAGTGGCAACATTTGTATGAAAAGGAGAAATGCTCAGCATCACCAATGAGAAATGGTTCTCCTCTCTCTACATCACCCTCCAACTGCTCTCCTTTTTAAAACGGACCCTCAAAGGTTCTAGCAGGAAAAGAGAGTCCAACATTTCTCCAGCTGCCTCTCAATGTATCAACATATTCAACAGCTCTTCACAGAAGCTGAGGCAGAAGCACTTGGATGTAGGGTTGAAGGGGTGTCAAACCCTTTTGCCAGTCCAAGGCATCACCTTTTGCAAAGCAATGGCCATAGGGAAGTGGGAGGCTGTTCCAGCTCTGCAGCTGGAGTGCTGACCAAAGAGCGCTTGTTGCCTGTCCCCAGGTCTTAAGGTTATTAGCCCTGAGCTGCCCTGGGACATTATAAGGATTGTTTCACTGCATCCTGTGCAATATCCACCCTCTACCATTAAACTATACCTCCATAAAAGCTCACTTCAGTCTGTTCCTGATGGCAGTGGCTTACAGGAAGGCTCACACTTGGGGGCCTCAATGGCTTACCACCACCTGTCCCACAGCAAACGGATTGATGCAAGGGCAGCCAAAGCTCTTCTAGCATAAACTGGGAGAAAAATATCAGCCAAGCAGGAGATAGAGTCTGCAGCAATTCCAGCCTCAACAGGCCCATCTGAGACACTTCAACATGTTCAGCTGTGAGGACATGATTTTTATGTGATGCCAGATGGGTACAGAAAGAGGGAAGAACCACTTACCCATAATGCTCTGTACCAAGACATGCCATCCACCTTTCTGATGTCAGAGCATTTTTTACAAGCGTGCCATTCACAGCTAAATTCCACCCAGGTGCTGCTCATGCCCTCCACCCCCATGATGTCTTCTGTGGACCAACCAGATAAGGAGTTTGTGAGAGTGTTTTTGCATTCACAAACACTGTTCTCTGCTTAGATTTAGTGAAAAGCTGCCAATGTGGCAGGACTAATATAGATACAAAATGCAAGGTTTAGAGCTCACTAGATAGACTTTGGTCAATGAAATGCCTCTTGCCTGGGTCTGCAGCTGCTCTATAATGGGTATGTGATAGAATTTGAACGTGCACCGGAAAGTTTATCCAATCCTAATCTGCTACTGATGATCTCTGCTGTCTGTGTAATAATGGGGTAAACCTACAGACAGGCAGAGCAGATGAGATAAAAAGAAATAAACTAGTTTAAGTCTGTCTGGTCTGCAGAACACATCAGATAAAGCCACTTGTGATACAACAGGAGTTAAGGGAAAGGAAAAAGAAGCAAAAGAAAAAGGAACAAAACCAAAAATGAAAAAGCTGTGTGCCCTCAAACACACAAGCACATGATATGTAACGTATAACTCTAACAGAGTATTCACTGTCCAAATCTCTGATGTAATTTATAATATTTCAATTGCCAAGAGGCATGAATCACATGACATAGCCAAACCCAGTGTCTACAAAATAGCACTGACTTCTAAGTAGTTATGCAAACATGCAGAACCTTTTCCTATATGGTTTATCTCTCCACCCAATGTGTAGGGGATATAGCATGCAGTAATGTAGAAAAGCAAAATAGAGATCCCTTAACTGTCTTCAATTGAAAGAACTATTGGCAATTCCACACAATTCACTAACTTTCTGAACATAAGCCAGAAACAAGTCAGCAGAGCATTTGCACCAAGATCAATGGTTTGGAAAATTTGGTCAACTCATACAATCGCACTCTGTAAATGAGAAGAGCCTGAAACAGCAAGAGAGTCTCTCCAGGGGGAGGAGCAGCAGAAACATGAAGTGTAATGAAGCTAAAATAATCGAATCCTTTTTGTTTGTTTGTTTTCAAATTCCACTTTTTGAGTTAGTTTGTGAAGAATATCAATCCAAAACAGAGACCCAATTCATAATGCAGAGCATAAAAGCAACAGCGTGCCTGGCTATTGATACAAGTTTTGTCTTTTGAAAGACTCCTGTGTGGATTAGCCCGAGCATTTGTACAAAAAGAAAGAATAAGGCAATTTTCTCTCCTTTCTCACAGTATCTTCCCCTGCCGTTCCAAAGCAGGTGTGAAAAACTGACACACATAAATATCATATCTGAGCCAGTCAGGGAGAGCAAGTACAAATGAACCTTTTCGGGACTTTTCTCCAATTGTGCCTCTACCTGAATTTACTGAATTACAACGAGAGGAAGGGAGAAAAAGGCCACATTGCCACTTTCGGGTTTTTGTAGCAGAGGCCTTGGTTTTGACTTGCACGGCAACAGTGACATGCTTAAAGAAATTTTTACTGTAAAATTTTATTACTGAGATTAAACATACGGTTTTTGAAGAGGGATGCTAAGAGCATACCTTTTTGTACATGTGTGTGTCCCTCTTACCCAATGCCATACTTCTGCCCTCTTTATGAGCTATTCCCAAACTTCCTCTGATTTCAAGAGTTCTGGTTCAGGTTCCCACTTAACCTTAGCAAGTGCTTTATGGTCCTAACAACACTATGTAGTATTTTCAAAGCATCCTTTTTAAAAATAAAAGGGTAACACTGAAGACAAATTTCTTAGTTCTGAAGAAAACTGCTAGAAGGCCTTTCTTCCTTCCCCATGCCATTGCAGACATTTTCAGCTGGTAGGGCTGTTTTTCAGATGTAGAAATATTTCCAGATAAGTGAACTGAGACAGGCTCCTCTGAAGTTTTTTATGATGAGTACTCCCACCATCACACAAATTCTTGTCATTTTTGAATACAGAACCTACTTGCACATAAATATGTTGTATTCAAGCGCCTTATGACTATTTACCACTTGCTATAAAAGACGACAGGCTCAGAAGGCTGCTGTGCTTCCCCCCACAGCAGAGCAGAGCCTATTCAGCCTCAGTCTACCTTCTCTTTTTGTTGAGGGAGAGAGAAAGAAGGAAATAACTATGTGGTTTTATTCCTATCTCGTTTTTTCACTATTGTTGATTCTACTTTGTATTGTATTTCCCTTCCGGAAAAAGTATAATTCAGTAAGGAAGGGCACAAGGGCTCTTTACTTTATTGCTACAACAGTGGCATTTAAAAAATAATTAAAAACCCACAACAAAACTGTCAGCTTGCAGAACATTACATGAAAATACAACAGCAACAGATTTCACCAAAATTAGAGCTGAAGCGCAGCTTTTCCCTGCATTCCCAAGTTTTGCCACCTCATGTTTCCAAAGACAGGCACCAGTGTCACTGAGCTGTGAACTCCAAGGACTGTGGCTTTACATGAAGAAAGGTATAACAGCTGCGTGAGTCGGAGGTCCTTTCACAGACTTGGAAAAGCTCTCTGCCATTCAGTAAATGCCAGGCTCTCAAAAAACTCTCTGATGGTAGATTATGGAAACAACTAAGCATGAAATAACTGTGATATTCTTCAACACTTAACATATAAATATAGGAAAAAAATCCAACTGAAGGGGGACAACAAGCAAGAGAAAATATGTAGGACATCAAAAACACAAACCTGAAATTGATGTGTGTGCATATAAACAAAAAAAAATATATACTAAACAGGCAAGTTATTCCACAGTATAAATCATGCAGCTCCATGGACTTCATCAAATTTAGGTCTGACAGTGTTGTTTATGAGCTTCCCTCCACTACAGGTTTCTATTCCAGGACGATACCTTTTCCCTTGTCCAACTAGTCAGCAGTTCCCAGCTGCACAAATGAGCCTTCCTTGTCACCTCCTTGGCTGTTTCCCTACCCTCTGCAAATACAACTGTCACCTCTTGGCTGTTCTGCATCCTGGCCGGTTCTTTCATCCCACCTGCATCTTCCTTACAGCATTGCTCAGCTCCCCCTTATCTGTTAGGAAAGGAGAAGGAAAAAACACCAAATCTTTGCATTATATTTAATTGCCTTACCTAAAATCATATTCACCCCTCCTCATTCTGGACAACAGCAATTCTTAAAAATCTGATTACACCCTTCACCTGAATCATCTTCTCAAAGGATTTGTAACAATGGTCTACCAAAGATGGATGTTTACTTGTTGCTATACTTCTTAAAATCCCTTTGTCCCAGTATGTGACAGTCTTCACCGAGTAATCCTCTGTGTCATACGTTTAGGGAACACTGTCTGTCAAAATTACAAAGGAACCCAATTGAAGCTGACAGCATATGTTGTCCTAAAAATCTCCAACATTTGTTATCAATCAACTTGTAAAGCCGAAAGGTTGTCAAGCAAATCCAAAAGATGAAACTCCTGCTCTTCATAGCAATCACATATGATATATAAGGGACTGCTATCCCCGAAATACTCATTTCTGGGAATTCAGAGCAATCAGCCCACTGTAACTGTTCAATGCTATATTGTGATAAAGCACTTCTCTAGACTTTCTTGCCCAAAAGACCATCTGCAGATAGACACATAACTCAAGAGATCACAGCAGAGATGTTCTACCAACAGTCTGGTCATTCTTACACAACTTGCTGTTTTGGCATTTGACGGGTGAGGGTGCTCATGATGAAAATCCCTACATCCCTCTTTTCATGCTCTTCAAGTTTCTCTACTTCTAATGGTTTCATCTGTCTGAATTTGTCTGGAAGAAAACTGTTCAGTAGGAAGATCAGAAGAGCAAAGAGGTGAATCAATCTAAGCCTGAAGGATCAACACATTCTCACCTTTCTATGTGCTGTGCCCTTCTTGATCCATGTTGTAACTCCAGCTTTTATAATAGAAAACAGATTACCTTACTTCTACAAAAGCTCCTTTTCTATTAATTATTCATCTGCCTAAATTAGAAGTTACTCTGCTCATACAGTAAAAAATTATGTGTGTTATAACACCATCTCCCTGCTAAACTAACGGCTCACTAATAAAGTGGGCATCTGCCATTTGATTATAAGATACTTGATTACTTGGGGTAAGCCCAGGAGGTTAAAAAATACTGGCCACGGGTACTTGTCTGTTCTGAAGTTTATGTTTCAGGTTCTTTAATAATTTCCACTACCTGACATAATTACAGTGGATGCAAAGGTTAACCCCATGCCTGCTTAATGACTTCAGTATCCCAAGATGTTACATCTGCAGGAAATGATGATTGTGGTTGTGCTATTCGAGTGCCAGGACTAAAGTAACTGCAGTGCGTGATGGGACAATGGAGCAATGAACATGTGTCATCAGACTGTTGGCACAATACAATAATAATCAGACAAGTAAAGGGATAGAGAATGCTGCAGGATTAGAAACAATTTCCCTTATCAGCTTTTTCTAGTAGTATTCGCTCAGGGACTCACACAAATTAAAAACCGTGATTGTGTTTTCTGAGAAACGGAGGTAAGCACACAGGTATCCTGCTGGCATTTTCTACATGCAACCTATTGCCTTTTGGAAGGGGGTTCAGTCCTGGATCCTTTCCTCAAACAAGCAGCTAATAGCACTGGATGTCTCAGTACGGGTTTCAGAGCATAAACAGGGAACACAGATTTGCAAACAATAGGATTATAGCAGAGAAGGAAGCCCAAATCGATTTTGATGCTAAATGGAAGGATAGCAGGAAAGGAAAGTCTCAGACCCAGTGCTCCAATAATATTTCTACTACAGTCCACAAAGAGCCCTCCAAGTAATTTTGTGAAAATGAAATACCACTGCTGTCTTGTGGTTTTGCGGGGGTTTGTTGCTGTTTAAACCGAATGTTTATGAAATGTTTTTGAATTGTTATTGCTCTTTGTGGGATGTTTACATTTTCCTGCAGAGCAGTATGAGATATGCTTATTCATAGACGTACAGGGTACATATATTGCTATGCAGTAAAATACCACATTAATTACCAACCCCAGCTCCCCGTCTCTACGCTACAGACACTGGTGGTAACTTTAGCTGAGGGCCATGAAGCCTGATGTAGGGCAACCAATGAATATGTAAGCATACCACAGTACAGAAATACATCTCACTCCTCAATCTTTCTACAGGTAAGCAAAAGAAACATGAATTTTAATGTTTTGAACCTATTTCAAGCCTGCAACTCTTATGGAGGCAATGCCACTTCTGCAATCGTGGTCAGTGCTGCATCAAAACCACTGCAGTAGAAGGATTCCTTTAACAGTACAAGAAAACTAAGGGAAGAAATGCATCTTCCACAGAAATCACTTCCTTATTAACCAGAAGGAATCCATGCGCAGCTCTGACATTTCAAAGGCACTTGCTAAATAATTAGATGAAGCTTTGTGTGAGGACAGGTTTCTTCAGGAGACCAGTCTCACCACTGTAACAGCAGCCCCATGTTTACATCAAAGCACACCAATACAAGCAGGCATGGATGAAAAATATCACCAACATGACAGAACTACTCCAAATATCCAGTGACTACAACCTCCAGTATTTTATTACCTTTGTAATCACTGACTCCAAAAAAACTTCCCAAGAACAAATGAATTAAAATAAGCCACATGCACCACATGCAAGGTTTGTATTATTGCAGTTGTGTGGCAGAGGGAAAAGATAGAAAGATAAAGTAGAAATGAGCACTCAGCTCTCTTGAATCCTACTCTGATATCTTGTCTACAAGGCTTTTTCTGCTCTCAAAAAGCTGTAGCTACAGGCTTTCACAGCATGAAACAGGCTGTCTCCATCAAACCCTGGGCTGGGTAAAGATCTGCACAATACAAAATTAAAGGAGTAAAATCAACAGCTAAAATCCTTTTGCCAATGAAGATTGTGTAAGCCCAAGATAACATTATGTTGCAGGGTTTTGCCAGCTATTAACTGGTTGAAAGCTGAATGGGAAGGAAGCTAGTTAAACTGACACATATGATGCTGAACATTGATTTTTTCACTAAATTGTTGTCCACACAAACCCCAGTATGGACATTCCTGAATTGATTTAAAATTGACTTATAATGATTTAGTGTATGTTTACTCTCTATTGACTCAGGTTGTGGCCACAGCAGGGAAAAAAAAAGTATTTGCGAACAGAACACAGCAACATGTACTGTGAAACATCTTAAGAAGAACAAGGCTGTCTAATATATACTCTTAAAAACATCGAGGTTTGAAGATTTGTCAAAGACAACGTAGAGCCATGGGAACGCTCATGGAATTGCAAAAAATTCAGAGGTTTTATTTAACAGAAAATAAGCTATTTCATCTGGAAGTTACTTCTCCTCAGCTAAGGCAGGGAAGCCAAACACGTGCAAGCTGTTTGCTTCAGTTTGTCCATTTTATTCTGTATTTACTGGATAATCAGTGTTCGTGCTGGTAGCTAACACAGATGAAGGACAGGGCTTTGTAAAATACCCTATTCTGACTATGCCAGGATACCCTATGCTGACCCACCAGGATACACTAACACTGACTTAATGTTCTTTGAACAGCAGTCACTGTGCAGTGCATGGAAGTCCAGTTGTATCATAACACAACACCAAAGACAACTTTACAACTCAGTAAGTTGTAAGTGAGGATGGTCACCAGAAAAGACCTTTTGGCTCACATCAGACTACACAGCAACCTCGGTGCCAGCACTAGACTCCAAACAAGAGTCCAGCTTGGGAATGGCATCTTGACTACTCACTAGTGGAAGGTGGTTCAAGACCCACAGGTCTAATGTCAAGTCCTATAGAAACATAAACCATTTTCATAATGGTTGTGGAGCATCAGAAGAGGGTTGCACATCAACATAAGGTGACTTAAGCAGAACCCCATCTTTACTAGAATCAGAGCTGGAATATCTGGATTCCTGGAGGGAAGATTAAAAGGGAGGTGAACATAAGGAAGAAACTCTTTACTGTGTGGGTGACTGTGCACTGGAACAGATTGCCCAGAGAGGGTGTGGAGTCTCCCTTGCTGGAGATATTCAAGAAGCATCTGGATGCAATCCTGTGCAATGTGCTCTCGGATGACCCTGCTTGAGCAGGGAGGTTGGACCAGACAATCCACTGTGGTTCCTTCCAACCTGATCCATTCTATGATTCTGTGATTGTAGATCAATGTGAGCTTACCAACTGATAGACAATGCTCTATGCTGAAAATTATACTGAAAGGAAAAAAAAAAAGCACTTTCCTTTAAACAGTGGTGAAACCATTACAAACCTAGGTCTTGACACAGGCCCAGCCATTCAAGTTTGCTCATTTATTTTTGACTTTGAAGTATCCTCTATACAGATGTATTTGCCTGCACAATTGCAGATGCGAAATTAAAATCTTCTTCCCCTTCCCTGGACAACAATTCTTTTCTGCTACACACAGTTTATGGGAGCTCACTCTTTGATATTTTTTTTAATAACTTGTGTTGTGTCTGGCGCTTTGGGGAGTGCCTGTGACAGAAAGCATTTTATTACTTCTCTGTTTGAGTTCACTGCAGAGAGCTCACCAGGCCCTATCACTGAAAGGACATATCTAGGCAGCAATTTAATCAAGCAGTGATTGAAAAATTAAAGGTGGCGGTGATTAATATGGATTTAAGACTTCTTTTGTTTGAATGGGTTTTAGCTAGAGAACATGGCAGCTGGGATTTTTTTATTTTTTTCCCCCACTGAAATAGAGGGAAGGATGAGAAGGGGAACACAAAGGAAACCTCTAGGCAGATCATTTCCCTCCTTTTAGTATGCAAATAAAAGTCAAGGGAAGAGGTTACACACAGTGTATATTATTATCCTTAGGTAAATAACCAAGCGTAATTTCAGCAATCACAAGCACACCTCTGTGTGTTAGTAAAGATCCAGTCACAGAAATTCAGTTTGGACCAGCACCAGAAGGGAAAATTTCTGCCCAAGACACAAACAAATTCTGACATTGAATCATTTGCCTGGCTTATGAAGAAATAGATACCATTTAGTAAGCATGAGTATACTCTAAACATAC